TTTTTAAATAAACCATAGTTGACCAACGGTGACCATGGATGAAGGAGGATGAGAGTTTGCTCAGGGGCACTGAGTTTTTGTGAATGAATGGTGGTGGAAGAAGTTGGGAAAGAATATCAATAATCGCTGCACAACGTGAAGAGTATCATCAATGGCACTGAATGATGCAGGTAGAAATTGTTGAACTGGAGGTTTTTTTGGGAGAATGTCTTGTTGTGTATATTTTTGCCACAATTAAAACTAATGATTACACTAATAATGAGTACAAGGAAGAAACTGTTCTAAAATTGATTGTGGTAAAGATTGTACAACTCTTCTTGATATGGTTGTACTATTGACTTGTGTGATATGTGGATGAAGTGGTAATAAAACTGTCTAACTAAACAAACCGTTTTTAATGCATCAGAGGTCTGCTGTGTAAAGGCTGCTTTCAATCACTGTTCGGAGCACAACCAGAGGCGGTGGGAGTGGTCTTGTCCATTTTCACCAGAAGAAAAGGACTTCTCCACATTGCTCTGGCCAAAGCTTCTAGGATTGCTATTCATGCATCCGTTTGGGTCACATCCCTGCACCAGCGAACATGATTCAGGAATGGAAGGCATTGATTGATTTACGTAATTCATCAGAGCCAACCTCTGGGCCTGGAAGGGGGTCCACTTCCCTCTCAGGCCCACAAAACTCTAGGTACTTTCAGGAAGGGGAGTAGTTGGGAGAATGAGTGCTGGCTAAGTCACCCCAGTGTCACAACAGATCTCCATCAGTTAGGAATGGGGGTGTCAGCGATAGAAGTCCACTTCTTGATTGCGCCGGAAACGAAAGTGTGATGGGTGGGTAGCAGAATTAAAGGAAGACCTGGCAATCAGACATCGGGAAGCACCGGCACTTGGTCAGAGAGGTCAGCAACAAGAACAGGCCGGCCTTCTTTAGGGTTTTGATGGGACCTGACTCTTTTCCACTGCCTTTCACCCCTGCCTCACTAAACCTTTGACCCGGGAAGAAGAGGGGATGGGTTCAAACAACGCACCACCTCCTGTAATGCCTGCTAGGGATGTGAGTGAGTGTGTGTGTGTGTGTGTGTGTGTGTGTGTGACTTTTAAGAACAAAATAATTGATATGAGCTGTAAGAGCCCAGATAAAATGATTTATTTTATTTTTCCCACTATTTTCCTTGTTTATTAAGCATGAGCGGAATAAAAGAAGACAACTTGATTTTTTTAAATGAGCAAATGATTTGAATAGCAAGTTCTATAAGGGAGGCATACAAATGGCTGATAAAACATGACGACATGTTTACCATCGTACCAACAACCACGCCAAACTCCCTGCCATCGAGTCAAAGCTGACTCACAGTGACACGATCAATCGCACGGGGTAGAACTGCCCCTGTGAGTTTACCACCTGTAACCCTTCCATCACCAGGGCTCCTCTCAAGAGCATAAGGCAGTAGACAAATGCAACTCAAAATCACAAGGAGGTGTCACTTCATACACATTAAGATGACCCAAATAATGATAATAATCATGATGATAGCTAACAGACCCCACGCAAACGAACACAGAATTGGCCGCTCAGTAACGTCGAGAATGCGGCAGTTTACCTTCGCACAGCGGGCGAGCCAGCTGTTTGACTTTAACTCTTACACACAGATAAATTCTGAGAGAGGGAGAGAGGGAGGGAGAGAGAGAGAGAGAGAGAGAGAGAGAGAGAGAGAGAGAG